TGTCTGCTCGTCGTTCTCCTGCTGTACAGACTACCCGTGTGCAGGGATGTTGGGGATGGTGTCTGGCCAGATCTCAGATGCTCAGATCAGTGCCTCGTCCTACGCTGACCGGGGCTGGGTGGCCGAGAACGCGCGTTTATTGACGGGAAGGTCGGGCTGGACCGGACAGTCGACAAAGCAGCCTTTCAAGAATGAGTGGCTGCAGGTGGGTTCACAAACACAGCTGAGTGTAGAGATGAAACAGGCAGATCATGACCTCATGTTTGTTTTATTTGTTTACAGTATTAGAAAGTTCAGTTATGCATCCAGCAGTCACACGCACATCCTTAACTACTGCACTGTTAACTGAAACAGTGCTTCCCAAAGTTTCTGGCTGGTGATGCTTTGACATGAAGACAGTGTCTGCTCACTCATATGGCCACGAGTGCTTTTATAAACAGTTTAAAATAGAGTATACAGTTTATTTTTCCTGTTCCCCACTCAGATGGGAAGCATCAGGCTAGTAAATATCTACATTTTGACTAGTAAATATCTAAATAGTCTTAAGATTTCTCAAATTATCCTGATTCCCACCTGCAGGGATCCCAGTCCCCAGAGTGGAAACCACTCGTCCGCACCAATCCAAGCCAGTTCTTTTTAAATGAAACCACAGTCATCTTTGTCATTTTTATAATCTATCACAGAGCGACAAGGTTTCTTTTTGATTCAGATCACAGGTGTAGACAGTATTTTGCTCCTTCACAGGTGGATCTGGGCCAGGACAAGATAGTGACCGGTGTGGTGATCCAAGGAGGGAAACACCGTGACAGGAACGTCTTCATGAAGAAGTTTAAGGTGGGCCACAGCCTGGACGGAGAGGAGTGGACCATGGTGAAGGAGGAGAACACCACCAGGGTCAAGGTTGGCTCACTTACACATGTAACAGCAAAATGTCACTTTTTATTCGTCTGTGTTTGCGGTGCCTGGCAGCCAGAAGGTCAGGCTGTGTAACATGAGTGCTGAAAAAAACATCTATTTATCTGTTTGAGATGCAGATTAATTAGTT